TGCCTATGTAATTCTTTATGTACTGTTATGGGCTGCTCTTCTTCTAATTCGTTTTTTTTGTAATTAGAGGTCTTATATAGTGGAAAGAAGCTCTCAACGATTTTTCAAAAGATACTTTGGATAGAGGTTCTCCTGTTACACAAGTGTTTCGATAGTCCATTAAGAGGTGTTGAATTGTTCTTTCCGTATCATATGGAGAATTTACTTTAATATTAACAAGCATATACGTTTTGAAATTTTTTCAACGTTTCCACTTTGTTCACTGGTTGTTAAATATGCAGGAGCGAAGAGTATGTGTTTAGTTAACTTCATCGACAAAAATTATTGAAATACGTCCATTATAACTAACAACAATTTTGGGTGAACTGCAAAGTGAATAAAATTTGTGTAATGTAATGATTGGATAGCTTGAAGTAATATTTTTTGTTTGGAATACCTAAACCCATTTCGCAAACTAGTCAACAGCCAATAAAATGTAATTGTTATCAATTGGATCCGCATAATCAATGTGCATTCTGCTCCATAGGGGAAATTTGCCCTAAAGAATTTTTATAATATGTAAGTGATGTAAGTGGAAGTATAGTGTATGTGAGCGTGTAGTGTGTAATCTTACTTCGCCAGCGAGAACCATCCAACAATTTAGTTAACTGGCATTTTAATAACTAAAATAAACAATATGAATGTTTACAAAAAAATCATATAATTATTGATTATTTTCCAAATTAATACTAATTAAGTTAAATATATGTTATTTAATTAACATTAACGTAAAACTCACCCAAGTTGAAAAATCGCCGAATGTACATTCGTGTTTACACAAAAAAACTATATATTATAGATTAAATATTACAATATTATAAATTTTTTTTTTTTTTATTCTAAAAATAGTAAACAATTAAAAGCTGCAGAAATGATGTGGACGGTTTGCTGATAAACTTATTGATGATCTATCCCATGGGGGTCTTTGAGTTTGAGTCTGCGTGGATTTTCATTATGAGTTCTGCTGTGTAGGTCCACGCAGTCGTACGGGATTTTGTAATATCCCATAGGCCCCTTCAAATTGGTTTGCAACGGTTCCGTAATGTTTGTAACAAATTATTCAATCGTTTTTTTATTTCTTTTATAAGCAAAAGTTATGATTGCTTTTCATTTCATTTATTAACAAATTTTACAATTGTTTTTCACTTCTTTTATTAACAATTGATAAGAATTAATTTTACAGTCTTTTTAAAGCAAAAATTTACTATTAGAAAGATTTTTTTTCCTTTTTTTTTACAAAAAAAAATTGTGAACGTCAAAATTTTCTTTCCTTCCCAAATTCCAATGACTAATCACTTCCAACTCAAAATGAGAACTCCCCCATTGACAAAAAAAAAAAAAAAATCAATCGCCTACTCAGTTTCCTACAAACGTGCAATATCCTTGAAATTTAGACATAATGAGTTTTAAGCTACAATTAGATTGGCATAAGTTTTCTCTTGATTAAAACTTAGCTTTGTAGCAAAAACAAAACTACTAACGCTTTTTTATCGAGAGCACTATAATTTCCACCCTTAGTTAAAAGTCTAGATATGAAACAAATTAGTTTAAGATTATAATCACCTGGTATTGCATTGTTTGATGCATCAGTTATCAATATAAATGTGCAAATGTATGTTTTGATTGCATCACAAGCTTCTTTGTGTAGTTTTTTTTGAATGAACTTGTACGTTATTTTGTAATAATTTCCAAAGTAAACTCATCTTCTTAACAAAACTTTGTATAAACTTGGAATAATAATAAACCTTCATAATGAAAAACCAATCCAATAAATCTGCAATATAATTGTGAGGGCTCTGGTATCGTACCTTTTTATATAACAAAAACTTTCGTGCGATAGTTGACGGAAATTTTGTCTGAATTTTTTGTATGTCATTGAAAAGCTAGCTAGTTCGAAACTTATGGGGGTTTCAATCTTTACTCATCGACACCTCACCGACGATTACACTAAACAAATACATATTTAGCGCATACGCTAAAACCCTTACGGAAAAAAACGAGCGGACAGGCTGATCTTAGAGTCGGCACTCAGGCCATAGTCTTCTTCGGGCCATGTCTTTCTGAAAATGATTTGATGTGATCTGATGATCTTTAATGGGAGAGCCAGAAGTTGGGTCTCTTGATTTCTTTATTTTATTTTCCTCGCAAAAAAACGAAACTTTATGCATTTTAATTAATTTGTTTTTCTTTCCTTTAATTTGGAAATGTAGTAAAAATAAGAATGTTTATTGAAAACTTAAAAATAAAAATAAGAAATTCCTATTTATTTTTCTTTTTTATTAATCTCCTTTCTAAATAGACTGCTTATATAATTTTAACTAGGTACTTGTACATATATGTGACTAATTAATTACTTTAGGTTACAAAGAACAATACGACATATATATAAGACAGTAATATAAAAAAATCCCGGCGATATCAACAGGGTTGGAGTGCTGCATTCCCGCTGCTGATGACTAAGGCTCAATCTGTTGTGGTGCGTGTGTATGGCCTGTTAGCCATGGCCTGATCAAGTTCCTACTGTTTGATAATTGATTTAATGCGATGGTATCTGAAGGTCGGTTCAGCAATCAGCTCACGACTTCTTTTATGTATAGGACTATAACATTTTTTTTCATTGTCTTTATATCATTCTTCTTTTTCGCGCAATAAATTTGTTAATTCTTCCGCGTAGGTTTTCTTTTACTTACCTTTAGTGAGTCAGTTATCTACTTCTGAATTTGCCATTTTTAATAAAATTAGGTAGTTTAGTTCGTTTATCCTTAATAAAATAAATTTTGCTTAGACAATTAAGGTTTTAGTGTACTTATATGACTTATTACTTTTTTTTCGTGATCTTTTCTTTCATGAAAAGTCTAATTCTAAAATATATGCCTATCCCAAGTAAATCACGGTGTATTTATTACATTTCAAATATGATCATAAAGTTTCTTTAATGTGTTACTGGCCTTGGTAAATCTTAAGTATGATAACAGATTAAAAGAACGAGGCGTTTATTCTTTTATTTGGTTTAAGACCTCTGGTCTGTAACTTTTGTAAAACCGCTTTTAATGATTTAATATGTCCCCAATACCTTCTGACAATTGTTATGTCATCCTGATAAATAACAATATTGGGAATATCACATAACAAATTTGCAACATGGTTGCCACCCTATTAATGCCAACGGTGGGCGTTTTACATTTAGTGTGCCCGTAGGCATGCTACAAGCGCAAAGCATTTGAGATCGGTCATCTAAATCAAGTTGATGGATAGATCAATTTTAGTGAAATTGTAGTGCCTCCTAAAGATGCGAATATTGCGCCAATGCGTGGCAGTGTGTATTTGAAGGCCACGAACTGTTTGTTAAGGGTGAGTTTACAGTTGCCTCGCCTCCATTTTCTTACAAACTTAATGTCAAAACTGTACTCCAATCTGAATTATCTGCAGACTCTCCAACACCTAATTCGATTAACTCATTTAGCTTTTGCTCCATTTTTCTTTAAATACGGAGGAAGTGCATGCTGCTATAACACGTGCACTGTCAATTTTAGTGGCGATGTGAATTAACCATGAGATTCTTATACAATTCTAAAAAACTAACTATCGAAACTTAATTTACTATACCAAATTTAAAGTCGATTTAGCCTTCAATTTTAACCGACAAACTGAGCCAATGTGGCCTATCTTACCACAGACATAGCATGGGTAGTTGCTGAAATCAAAATTTTTTGCAGTGTTTGAATGATTTATTTTCTTTGTTCGGTTTCTTCTCATTATCATTTTTCCCTTTGTTCCTCGTATATTTATTAAAGCTCGATTTATTAACGCAATTAGCATGGTTGTCGTCATTATTAGCATTAGATGATATCTTCGCTTTGATTATTAAGAGTTTTTTTAATGTAATATGAAGAATAAGTGTATCGTGCTTTTCACACCACTTGATGAAATTCTCACCAAATTTGCAGTACAATGATAATTTTTTTATTCTGGCGAACCATTCAACTACTGTGTCGTTATCCCTTTTTGCCGCGTTGTGAAAGCTATTTATTCTCGATAAATGATTGTAGGTAAAATATAATAGGCGCTTCGAATTTCACAGAGCTTTTTTTGTTAACAGGGAATTGTAGACTGCACAAACTGAGTTGTAAGGAATAAGCAGCAATTACAATAAATTTAATTGGCTTTCTTGGCATTATCTTTTTGGTGATGTATTTCACAAAAATAAATGTCCAACTACTGTTTCCAAATTTTCCACTCTTCTTTGGTGGAGATAATTCTACTAAGCTTGTTGCGTTAAAAAATTAATAGTTGTGAAATATTCTCATTCTTCGCAGCCATTTCGATTTTTTTTAAATATATTTGTACTTAATTTACGTAAAAATTATATAAACTTAATTTTTCTCGTCGCTAATTTGCAATGTGCCGTGTATCAATTTAATTTATCAGTTTTCATTTTGTTACTACACATGTGCAAAATTGTCATTTACAAACTTTCAAATTACGTTTAAGATATCATTCATGTTCATACTGTCAAAACTAAAACCATGTGGTAATTGCGATACAGAGGTTAACGAACTGCGTGTGTTTCCTTGCTGAATTTGTATTTGTCATTTAAGATTTTCTACAGGCATAATAATTTTATTATTTAAAAAATTATTATTTAAAGGCTTTTATTAAGCCTGAGTTTATCCTTAATCCTTACGAATCATTAAGAGTTAATTAAGACATTTGTATTAGGCAAAGCTGCCAATTGAAATAAGGGAACGACGATCACCTTGAAAGCGGAGACGCCTACAAGAGATTGGATTAGAAAACCTCAATAAGAATACAACATTGCGGTAAGGATGGCGCATAGCATGTCTGTTTTACGTTAAATAAAATTGTAACACGTCTGGGTCCATAGTCTTGTAATAAAAAAAGGTCAGACCTTTAGATATCTATGTTACACACCTTAATTGCAAATTTTTTATTGAGAAAGTATAATCACCCTGATTGTATTTCAGAAATTCTGGATATACGAGAAGTAGCACGTACCACTAATATCCATTGAGCTTCCAATTTAAAAAATTTACCGGCGCAATTAATACAGGAGGTAATTACGTATATTTCGATTAACTTTTGTTTGCGTTTTGTGAGTGTTTTGTGATTCATGCTGAACAAAGTAGCGAATAGAATTCAAAATACATTACAAGTACAAAGTAGAGTACAAACTGCAGTTTGAAGTTTTTTGTACAAAAAACGTGGGTGTCCAAGTTTCATAAAGATTCATTACATAAAATTAAAATATATAATTTGCAACATACTAAATAAGCTTCAATTGTTATGAGCTGCTGCTGCACGGCGTATTAAGGAATTTTTATTAAGTCGTGTTAAGGTTTTTATTGACAACGTTTTGTTTTCTTCGTTATTACAGGGATTTTGTGGAAAAATCATATTATGCTTGAAACATCAATCATATGGTTTTGTGCTGTTTTCGTGAAGAGATGTAAGTATCGCTGGACTTATTTGGTTCTACACGTTATCTCTACGTATTTAGCGCAGATTAATTTTTTTTTTTTTTCGTTGTTTGTTGAATTTCTTTCTTAGCAAGTATGTTGTTAATTTCTCACCGAAGAAATGCTTTAATTCATAAGGACTGTGTCAGTTGACTTAACCGATTTGTCAATCATATTCGAGCAGAGGTATGGAGTAGGGGAAGATTGCACATCTTCTGTCTGCTGACCGTAGAAAATCTGATAATGTCCGTTGAGGAGCCCACTAGGCTTAGCTCTTAAGATGATCGTCCGAACGGATTGATGATAATAAGCGATAGGCCAATATGTAAAGTTATAATTGTATGGTGTTAATTTGAATATAAATTTTTATTTTGTTAAGCCGTCGGTTTACATTCTTATATATATCGCTGTTGTGCCCGTGAAAAACAAGAAAGAAAAAATTTTAAAATATTGGCAACAAATTGCTTTCACTCACAGTGTAACGCAGGCTGTATGGCCATCTACATATAAATAGAAACAATCAAGTTTATTTTGACGCTTCGTGAGTGCATAACGTATGCATTGTGTTTTCAGCTTAAGTTAGTCAATATTAAATTAATTCAAACTCAAAGTGTTTATAACAATATATAATTGAATTATAGGAAAACGACAAATAATAAAATAATATAGAAATATGCTAATAATATAAAAATAGTGAATAAGAATAATATATATCTATAATATAAGATTTTATACGAAGTTTACTTGCTCCCAAGGTTCTTTCCCCACTGACATCTATGTTTATATTTTTGTTTTATTCACATAAGTTCGTATTAACTGAACTATATACAATTTTAGTATACGCGTTTGCAATTTGGTTTTTATTCACATTTGTATCTTGATATTGAATTTGTTCTATTCCTTCTCTTATAAGCTGACGGTTACTCCTGTATAAACCAACGCACCTATAACCACCTAGCCTATAATAAAAAGGACGTGTTCTTCTATGGTTTTTTTTAGTGGTTTTGGTTCATGTAGTAGAGTAAGTAAATTTTACATTACGCATTCTTTTGCAATGTAAGAGTGCGCTGTAAGAATCACTATGGATTTCTTCAGCTTTAGTAAGTAATTTTGTAGCTATTTGAATTGATTGTTTCGTCAAATCACTAGATCTGAGAAGATAAGGGTTTGATATTGTATGTGCAATACCCAAATTACTATAGAATAATTTAAACTCATTTATATAAAATTATGGATCATTATCAAAGACTAAAATAAATTAAATGCAGAGTCTGGCAAAAATAGTAAGTAATAGTTTGTATGGTAGAACATCCAACACTTAATAATTCAATTTTAATGAATTCGGAGTAATGATCAACCATAAGCTAATGTTATTTACTACTGAATTCGAATGTATCACAGCCTAATTTGAACCAAGGCATATTTCCACAATAATTTGTGATCTTGGGTTGGAATTTTTGAATATAGCACATATTTCGCAACTTAATATAGTACTTAAAATATCCGTGCATATATTTGGGCGAAAAACTGTTTGTCGGACAAGGCTTTTTCGTCGCTGTATTCCCACATTGTCCTCATGCAATAGTTGTAGTATTTTATGTCGCAAACTGTTTGGGATCAATGACTGTGTATTTTTTAATATATTATGAATAGAAAAAGTAAAATAAAATATTAAAAAATAAAGTAAAATACGGAATAATGTTAATTTCGACTTGTTATTTCTTATCAGACCTACCTCTTGTTTATATAATCTTGCTCTTTTTTACATATCAAACGTTTTATGATTTCGTTTTTATTTCGTTCAATATATGGAGAGAAGTAACTATTTGTGACAAAAGCGTAGCGTAAATCTTTGGAGTCTTGTCGGTATTTCATGCAAAGGTTTGTGGATGGTTTATGATATGTATCTACAAAGATATCTTGCCTAAAAATGTATCGGTGAAATTTAATGCAACCATATGTATTGCCAACTAAGTCTTTTTCAATTTGAGCGTTGTTTCGCTAAATTACGTTGAAGATGTTCATGCATGATAAAGGCACATGCCAATTTTCGAAATTTCGTTTATAAATTCGATCCTAATGCCATTGAGCGTCAGTTTTAAGTAGATCGCTTAAATTTTTTATTTTTTGTGGATTACTTTGAAGTAAATGGTTGACGATTTCTTATAGGTTGACCTATTCGCCATATTTGACACGACTCTATAAAAACATTAACATCGTTAAATAAATAAGTCGCAGATTTTGGCAAATTTAAATCCTCGCTTTTCCAATTTTGCTTTTTTTAGTGTACGCAAATGTTTTGAAGCTTTGTACAAACATTTGGGATGCTTCCAATTTTTTTGGATTACATGTGCACTTACAGAACATTCACAATTCACTGCCCGAAGGTATTGTACGCCATATTTGAAAATAGTTAAATGCAGAAAAAAATGTAAGTTGTGGCCATAATAATATTAACAGAAATATATATTAACAATTACTAAGTTAAATAGATAGACAATTTACATTTATAACAGTGTACTTATATTATATGTATATGTATACATACACACATACCTTTTATACATAGTACCAATCACATAGATTAAGATATTAATAATTAGTTAAAATCAAATTTAAAGGAAAAATTCAATTTTTCTTTTTATAGCACTTTATTATCATTACTATCGTTTCTGCTATTATTATATTAGATATTTGCAAAAATTGTCATCAGCAATCTTGTAACGTCCGCGTGTATGTGAGTAGGAGATTTCCGTCAGTCGGCTTTGTTCCTGCACTTCACAAATAGAATAGAGTAATTCGTAATAACGGAATTCCGTTAGTTAAGTTCTGTTTTCGTAATTCTCCGCTTACATAGTAGCACTATCTAGAGAGAGAATTATGGAAAGAAAACAAAGTCTGAAGCCCGTCTCTATCCCATAAGTGTAGTTTCTTTGAAATGAAATTAGCGTGGAGGAGTCGAAGTGTATCATCGCGAGAGGTTGGACGTCGGCAGAGAAGAAAACCCTCAGGCAGAACCCACCCTTACGTGTTAGAAATCAGGTCATTACTTTATAGCCTCAAATCTGACGCACTTTGTTCTCATTTTTATGGGTGCCCAGCTACATGAACATTCTTGACAACACCACTGCAGGTATAATTGCATCTTCGATACCATCTCATTTTAATGATCGTGGTCTGATTTCTACAGATTTGAGGGCAATCGACAAAAAACTTTCCGTTTTTCTTGGCAACAGCAATGGAACAATTCACCTTATGATCGTCACGCTATTATACGCTCTCTTTCCACAAATAAATAAAACTCCTTGGTTTGTCACTAGCGGACTTAGGCGTGATATTATTTGCCTTATTAACAAGCTGACGTTTAATCAGAGGAGATGTAATAATCATCTATTCAAAATTAACATAGTGTATTCACTTTATGTACAAGTGAGGCCTTACAATATCCTGATCAAATCCTATTTATCTTTTCGGTGGTGCCACCTCTACTCGCCATTCCACATTTAGCGAATTGTGTGTATGTGGTCTTCATCACAGCAGCATTCTTCGCATTTTGTGTTCTCACAGTTTAACAACTTACTTCGCAATCTTTTCTTTTGTTAAATCATGTCACCAATAAATATGAGCGTTTATAACCAAATTTTGAATCTATTCTCTTTTACACTTTTTTTACTTTCGCACTTATCAATTGTTTCATATGAGACTTCTGTTCTATCCTACGTGGCGGACGAGTAATACGGATGTTTTAATAAAAATTAAAAAAAAAATAACGGGACGGACGAATAACACACAAAATTCAAAATACTCTAATTAAATCAATAATATATATTGTATTTAACTCCAACTTTACTAAGGCTCAAATAAAGAACTCTGGGTTCACATTGGTTTTTTTCTACATATCTTAGCGAATTTTCGAAAATCTATCATGTTTCTCAGCAGTACTCCATTTCGTGGAGTCCGCATTGGAACTAAATCGAGGCATTGTTGTCATCTGTGCTATCAGCTATTATATCAGTGTCACTGCATAGACGAGCATGTCAGATGTAAAGATTGGGTACAAGATTGGTCCCAACACACTATCATGAGGTACCCCAACTTCAATATGACAAATTTCTGAAAAAGCTCCATTTACTTCTACGTAGCATGGGCTATCACTAAAATACGTTTGTAGAATTAGATAAAATGTTTTAGAAGAAGTTTTTCAAGTTTATCATCAAACAATAATACAAATAAAACTAAGAAACTTTCGTAGTCGACTTGTGTTCTGAGTAGTGCGTCTTTTCCTCTCGTCGACGATTTTTTTGATTTTGGTCTTTTCGTATATATGGCTTGTCTCTTTTTAGTTTTTTTGTTAAGCTGGTTATCGCGGGTACAGTGTGCGTTTGTTTTCTTATATTAAAAATATATAAATAATAACAGAATTAAAAAAAAAAATTGATAACAATTGACAATTGAAGTTCTCCACTATTTAGTAGTTCCTTATCTTTTCTAGTGATTGGTTTCTTTGTCCTAAATTACTAAATAATAAACTGACAATAAAAAGACATTATAGCCCGGGGGCCGCCAGATAAAAACACAAATGAGTTTCATTTATTAACGCACAAATCACCACAAAGACAAAAAAATTAATAATTCGTACTTTCCGGTATCGCCAATCAGTGCCATCATTCCAATTGACAAAAAATGTGTGATTACTGTTTCAACAGAGGCTAGCTTAACAATTTCGCAAATCTCTCCTTTCGTTATAAAAAAAAACCCCAAATGGTATTACAACGTATATACGGCTCTGTCTCGACTCTACACGGTGGTAATTTACTTCTTCCCGCTGGTAATCCACGAGCAACAAGGAACTTCACAAACAAAATCACAAGCTAATTTGTGTACAAATTTCGCTGAACTACACAACGAATTTATGCCGGTTAAAGGCCTAATTTATGCTAGGTGTTTAAGACATGTATCGGAAAAAGAAATAGTTCGCGAAATGAGCAATGAAGGTGTAACTGAAGTTTATAAATTTACTAAATTAAATGACGACTGAAAACTCGCTCCCCTACATGAAGGATAATTATGACTTTTGAACGCTATGGGTTACCGCGAACTGTTTATGTGGCTTGGTACTAATGTAAAGTGGAACTCTACATTTCAAATTCCACCAGATGCAAAAACTGCCAACGCCTGGGTCATATTGCAAAAATATGCAACAATGCGCCATCTTGTGCTAGCTGTGATCTTCCTACACATGCTGTAAGCTGTACCCCTTAGTTTCTGCATAAATTGCAATGATCTACATTCTGCTTTAGACACACAATGATCACGTAATGTACAAATGCGTGAAATTCTAAAAATCAAAACAGAAAATGACTGTAGCATTGGCGAGGTGCGACGCAAGTACCGAGAAATAAATCCAAATGAAATCGGAGTAATTAAAAAAACTAATACCTACGCTGCCGTCGTCTTGCAAATCGACTTTAATAAACCTCTAACTCCAATTTTTGTGAATGACAAACCTGTTCTATCATCAGCCAAAAACCATATTGAAAAACCGGATCTATCACCAGCCAAAAATAATATTGACAACACCAAAGCAATAACAAATATAAAGCCTAATAAATTAAATACCACAGAGTCACTAGGTCTCAACTTCATTCAACATATTACAAGTTGTAATGAATTTAATCTTTCATCCTTCAATCAGCCTTCAATTTCAAATTATTCACATGTGCCTGTTCGTTGCACTTCAAACCACCTCAGTACCGATTATTCTGCTGGTAAGAATGAATTATTCACGCAAAATTTCTATAGCGATATTGTCGACGAAAACGAACAACACTACATGACAACAGTCTTGGGACTGTTTTAGAGAAAGCATCATTCAAAGCAATCTCTGCATTTTAAAAGATGGAAGACCAACGCATTTTTCAACTCATGATGCCATATTGATTTAAATTGTTGCTCTCCTTCAGGTCTTCCTTTGATTGCCTTGTCTATCTGTGATGATTTTTATAATAGTGACCACTTTCCCATCATAATGGGTCTTAACCTTTCAAACTCTCCGTTTACTCCGGCAAAACAAGTTATATTTGAAAGGATGTTCCCACAGCTGCTTATTTCTCTATTCCGCAAACGATAGATTTTTAAACGAGCGGGGCCTTCTTTTGTTATTAAGAAAAAACCAAATTGATTTATGGTACAGCTTTAGAAGATGTAATCATGATCATTTGTTATTATATAAGATGGCCAATGCTCTATTCAGGAAGATATTACGAAAATCGAGTTTTGAACTTTTTTCGAAAATAACTCACAGAACCACATTATTCGAAATTTCTGCCATCTGCCCTCCCAATAAAACTTTAAACAGATGATGAGATTTCTAATTATTTTAGAAATACAGCAACTTCCCCAGCGCCTTCATCGAAAATAAAAAATGTCCAAAATTGATTACAAAACATTAACTTGGCTTCAAGAGGGATAGAGGATGCACCGACGCCTTTTACATATTTATTATATTACAAGCAAACCAATTTCTGAACGGAATCATGTAGCAATTCTTTCAGTTGATTTCGAAAAAACATTTAAGAGAGTTGGTCTTCATGTTATTTTAAGCCTCATCAAATCACGGACTGTTTGACCAAAATTCTTCAACTACATCAAATCATTCGTGTCGCATCGACGCTTTAAAGTTAGAGTTAACGATTATTTCTCTGATTCTTTTCCACTAATGAATGGCATTCCACAAGCATCTCCTCTTTCTGTCACCCTTTTTCACATCGCTTCCAATGAAATTAATAAAGTTCGGCCTTATGCCGAGAATTGAACATTGTCTCTACGCGGACGATGTATATTATCTAAGAAAAGAAAAAGATAACACTAAAACAGTCAACATCCCCGAATCTATTGTACGCGTGATTTCCACGCGGGCAAATTCTTCATGCTCTAAAATTTCAATACAAAAATCAAAAAATAATGCACGTCTGTCGAAAGCAGATATGTGATGCAGAAAATCGGTTGATGCATATGAATAACTTACCAGTGCAAAATGTATAGACCCTCAACGTTCTCGAGCTCACGTTTTCTAACAAATATTGTCGGAGTTTGAATAAAAAATTCCATTTCAATAAAGGTGAATTTCGTACAAAGCGTTGCTTGGAAAAGTCATGAGCACATTAACATTATTGCTTAGATTCCCAAAATGCTTATTTTAGCAAGATCAACTATGGTTCGATAATTTATGGCAATAACTACAAACCTAATATTAACATCCTTAAACCGGTCCATCTTAGAGCAAGTTGATATGCTTTCCGCACGACGCTCATCGACAATATTATAATTGATACTGTTTTCTAGCTTTAGAAAATAGACTTTATAAGTTAAAAGCTAGAATCGTCCCAAAGTTTTTTAATTGAAACAAATCTTTTCTCGGTGAATATGTGAAAAAGATTATTGTTGCCAAGCTAATTCGAAAGTCACCATCCGCAATTGACTACTGCATTGTGTCGAGAACCAATTAAATATTCCTTTAAAAATTTCCGTAATTTGTGTCTTAAGCCTCCATGAATTTTGAAAGACTATCCTTTTGACATTTTGCTGTGTATATACAAGAAAGTAGGCAATCCAAATTCTAATTCTTCCGGAATCTAATTGCTGAAAAAACCCAAATACTGGAGACTAACGGTTGAAGTCTTTTATATATTGATTTTTTAAAATCCGTTAGTCTGCCATCTGCTTATGCCGTGGTAGATGCTTCAGGGCAGGTTCTTCTTAATCACATATTCCGCGAAAGTGCTTCAACTTCCACAACCGAAGTCAGAGCAATATTTCACGGTACGAGCTTTTCTAATAAAGATAAACTCAAAACTGTCTTCAATTAACCCTCAATTCATTTCCCCTTTATATCCAACAGATATTGAGAAAATCAAGTTCAAAACATTTTCGAGAGTTTGCTTTGGCCATACAATTGCAACTCACCGATTGGTCTTAAAGAAGTCTTCTCTTTCAGTCTGCAATTGTAGACAAATTTTCACTATAAAGAACATTTTTTGTGATTGTCTTACCTTTTTAGAAGTATTGCATTTCGAGCAATTAATTCTATGGCCATCCTAAGACCAGCTATAGAACGCAATATCAATATAATATGTTACTTTATTAAAACTGTAATGTTCTTTTCTAAAATAGAGCCGCTAGCGTGTGTTGCTAGTGCTCAATCATTTTATCTTTTCAGTGTAAGAGTTTATTTCACTAGTCTAAAATTATAATAATAATAAGTTTATTTTATAATTCGGTATGCTAGACTTTCTCAAAAGCTTGCTATACATCTAAAAATGTCTCTGAGCAATATTTTTTGTCTTCGAAAACATCTTGTATATAAGAAACTATACGATGGCATTGTTCCATATTAAGTTTATTACAACAATTATTGATGAGAAATATTTTTTGAAATATTTTAGGGAATG